ACTCCTTTAAAAATCGGGTACACTCGATTCTTTCGAGAATGAAGTTATGCGTACTTTTGGTATCGATACTGCCCAACACTGCTGAAAAGTGGGAATGGAGGATGGCCGAGCAACAGTAACTGGAGCTATTATTCCTAATATTTTAAAATTAAAGATTTTATAGTAAACAATTCAGGGGCTTCTCTAATAGGCCAAAGATATGATAATAACCGCTACAACTCTAACAAAATTTTAGAGTTTCGATAATATTAAATCTCCTGATGATATCGAACATCTAGAACGAAAGTGAGCTAACTCAAAATTCAGGTCGGCTTGTCAAGAGTATAGATTCAACACAATTAATACAAAATCAGGTACAACAGTAGTTTTTTAGTTAGTGTATATAATTATGAAGAACAAAATATTTGCATTCATTGGAAGTAAGTCCTATGCTTTGATTTATGCAAAACAAATTTCATATTTTTTTTTTAGTTGCTCGCACTTTAGATCTACATAGATGTGCGATATGATCAAATATTTCTCGGCTTGAATAAGTGTACCTTTCATAAGCGGATAAAACACATAAAAGGTGCTGCACTTTCAGTATTCTGAAACTTTTCGCTTAAAAAATAATTTTTTTTTTTATTAGACAAATGTAATTTTAACATATGGTGCAATAATTTTTCAGAATCCAAGGCACCACAATTCATGCCTATTTTCATTAAAAAGTATAGTGATGTCATGAGCTAGAGTGCTTATAAGTTTTGAACAAAACTTTAGCAAAAAGTTTTCCAGAATTTACGAGCAGAATTAAGCCCAAAATCATCATGGTTGCAGTCAAATACTTCAAATTCAATATACATCGATATACTTATTATTAGTTGATACGCCTTCCATGTTCTAAACAAAAATATACAGTGCTTTGAACTCAGTTACTTGCGATGATAGTTTAAACCCTATACGACAGAAATTTAAGAAATAATTCCGCGAATCCAAATTAAGTGTATATTCGCATTTTCGACTCTGAACAAAATTATCAATTGACTAAAAAATTCACCATCCTTCCCCCTGCCCCACATTTACTATGTACCTTGTTAACAGAATTGTTGTGAGTGAAATGCCAATGAAATGACTATACGACTACTAACTATATGGCAACTTAACGGCTAAGAAAAGCCTCTTACTATATATACATACATACAGCACGAAAACTTACCTGATCCTTTTGCCGTGCTTGTTGACAGTGAACTGCTCAGTGGTTTCACCATAATCGCCCGATCCATGCAGAACAATCCTCATCATCACAGGCGCGCTCAGTGCCATTTGTCTTGTCGGTGTTAACATTTTGTGCTGCTGTTGTTTGCTTTGTCGGCGGTACATAAACGGGCGTTATCAGATCATCGCCACTGCCTGATTCGAATGGTGGTGTACACTCATCTTCGTCATCGCCACGACAACCCGAACCGGCACCCGAAAATATTAAATCATCTATGGCACCGGGATAACCGCTGGCCGGAGTCTGCTCGCATTTTTTTATGGAATGTAAGGGAACAAATTTAAAGAAAGAAATATTCGTGAAAGCTAAATGATTAGCTAAACTTTAAGGACATTTATTACGTTTAATGAGTACGTATGTATGTATGTATAGACAAGCAGTGCAGTGGAGTGCAAGTAGTATGAGTAAAGTGTATGTAGAATGTACGAGTATGATTAGAAGCATGCATAATGTTTTGAACGAGTAGTATTCGGTTCTGTTATAATTACATACATAAAAGGAGGAAGGTGAGCATATGGGATTATGTAAGAAATGTGCTTGGATTGATTGATGGAATTTTTAAAATTAATAAAATTGTTTTTTTTGGAATTAAAAATAACCTGTAGGGAAGCTAAAATGACAATAAAATGCCGATATAAGTATGTATGCTTAATTTTGGGTCGCAGATTGCGGATCTGTATACCGTTTTTCTATATCAGATATTTTAAGTTTTCATTGCAAATGAAGAAAAATTCAGAATTTAAAATGGAGAATGTTGCTCATATGCCATGTACCTACAAGTATGTATATACAAATACGGCCATGTACCATATGGCGTATGAGTAACATTTTTTCCTGCACCAATTGTGACACTATTGCAGTAAATGAGAGATACTATGTTCACTTGTACTGATAGCCCGTTGGCAATCAGGGCTCTTAGTTATTTGATTATATGGTCAAGAAGCGTCTGACTTTTCCCTCGATGCCATCAGATTTCTTCGTTATCAAACTTATTTGGGTACCAGGTCACAGCAATGTCGAGTTGACTTTATGGCCGATGTATTAGCAAGACAGGGAACTCTCGACAAACTGTAAGGAAACGGTAGGATCTCCATTGGATACTTAAGCGTTACTTCTAGATCGATGGGCTATCAATCAACTCAGCGAATGCCGGCCGGAAACCTTGAAATGCAATGTAGCAGGTCCTTCTGGCCACGAGTTAACCCGTGGCGGCCAAGGGAGCTTTTAACAAGTTACATATCTAGTCACTGGTGGGAGTTCTAATTTATTCGGTAAAGGTCAACGTTGCCTCAACCCCCTTTTGTGCAACATTTGTATGGAACTTGATGAAGTAAAATCATATCACATACAGCTGCTACTGAGCTGTTCAGCATTCACGAGCTTAAAGTATAAACACCTTGGGTCTTACTCTTTTCTCACCCCCCCGAGGAACTCCTGATGTTAGTGATGGCCGCTTGTGGAGATTTGTCGTAACAACGGAGCGTCTTTCAACTAATCTTTTTCCATTTCCCTTCGTGTCATCTTCCTCTTTTAATGACAATAAAATGTGCTATTAACTTAGTTGTTCCCACGACAGTCGTATCTACGTAACAGGAGTGACCCTGATTTATATCTGGCAAGGGACTGTCACTCCAGCATCATTCCCCAAAATCCCTTGGAAAATTGGTGGGCTGTTACAACAGAAAAACTACTTCTATTAACTTATTGGTCTAAGTGTGCCTTAGGGTGGTCCAAAAATTCTCATCCCCTAGGATTGTTCTATACCGAAAAAATCTATTCCTTTGTTTTTTTTTTAAATCAAAGAATATTTAGAGGTCGCTCAAAGCGCCCAAAGTGTTCCATATATTTTATATGGGGAAAAAAAACTTTTCGTAGAAACGGTATATAATTCTTAAAAATCAATATTTTTGCTATCGGAGAGAGCATTACAATTCCGACTTTACTGTTTTTGGACCAGCCTAGTGTGCATCCACCTACAATGTATTAATCAGTTTATTATCTTCAGGAACCTAGATCCCAATTGTCATTTAAACGAATTTCGATCCTACCACATGAAAAGCCTTTAACAACTTCGCTTTTTATGCATTTTACTAAAGGAATCGCAGAAGACGTAGGTATTTATGTATGTTATTAACTATCGATATTTATATTAACCTAATAAAGTATCTGAATAAGCAAATAAGGAATTATTTAAATTTTCAAAGAATAAAAACAATTTTGCAATACAAAGCTTACATAAAAAACTTTATGTATGTATGTTTGTGTTCATAGGTTTTTGTGGTTAGTGCAGTAGCATAAAAAATGGCTATATATAGTTAATAAGCGTTCTCAAATGCCAACCTGCTCTCATGAAAGTTACTTTAGTTATTAAGCTTAGTTTAATTTCTTCTGTATCATAGTATGTATGTACAAACAATGATTTGTAAATTTAGCTTGCCAAATGACACCGAAATACCTTAACTACGCATAGTTGACTAGCTATGTGCATAGCATTGACTTTATAGTTTCCCCATGAGAGCATGCGGCATTTACTTTAATTTAGAAATAATTACGAGAAAGAATGCAAATGCAATATTATAATATTTTACATCGAAACAATCCACAATGTTATTACAATGAAAAGTTTACAAATATACAGTATAGCATATGATAATAATTTATGGGCCATATCCTTAAGTGGAATGTAAATTGGTATTTACAATTAATGTATAAAATTAAATGTATTTATTTATAATGTTTATATTCAACAATTGTATGGAGCTTGAGGCCAAAACAAAACAAAAAAAAAACACATTTATTTACGCCGCGGCACAAAGTGTGCTTTTTTAACACTTCATACGAATTTATCGTAGCGCTTTCGACAGAAGCAAAATATCGAAATGAAACGAAATGGCTTTGAAAGCTAATGTAATTGCTTTTCACGGAAACCTGGTCGAAAGTAGTATTCTTTGAAAAAAACATGCAAAATCCGATGTATACATTCCAAAAAAAAAAACATTTTTTGTATTTTTTATTATACTAATATTATAGATTNTAGAAACACGATTCCACTGTTTACAAACGAAACAAAATTTCAGCCCCTCAATTTGAAAAATGCATTATATATTGCATTTTTTATTATTTGCATTCAGCTGTGGATCCTTAACGAAATTTTACATCCCTCGAACAACAAGTGAGTTTTAGTGCTATTCAATACATTTAATTTAAGCCTAGTTAGAAGTCTCTAGGCCGATCTCTATTACGATTGTGAAATTTCATTCCACATTTTACGCATTTTTATACCCGAGCACACTTGTGCAGATATCTCAACGAAATTCGATATGTAGGTTTCCCTTTACCTAAGGTAGGTTGGTTTTGAAAATTGGCGAAATCGGACTGTAATCACGCCCACTTCTCATATAACGGTGTTTTAGGTAAAACTACCGGTATTCATACCATATACCATATTTCAGTAAATATTAAATCTAAATTATTGCTAATTATTATGTGAAGTCGAATTTTCTCGCACATAATGCGCCGCCTACGGTAAATGGTTACACAGAAACGACTTAAGAATTCCCAAAATCTTAACTGACATTCTTTATATTACATATTTATATTTGTGTGCGCATGTTTGTGTTTATGTAGTATTCCATTCAGTGTTGAATAAATGGCTCATAAATTATTTAATCATATAACTAAAGAGAGATATTGATTGATTGATTGATTGATTGATATTTTTGCAAGACTTATTTACGATGAGAATAGTACTTGAGATTTGAAGAGATTGCAAGTTTGATTGTTTAAAATAAATTCCCTAACCTGCTGCATTCTTTGCAGATCATTTCTATCTAATACTCCAGTTACCAATTGAACATCTCCTCGTATGGTTATGTGTGGGTCACGTTCAACCGCCAGATCCAGTATGCGTAGCTTATTCACCGACAAACCGGCAATAACACCCGCAAATGGGCGTTCAATACGCGTGCGACCGCCACGGCTAAATTTTCCGCCCACCTGGATGCTAGAGATAGTATTGAAAACGGTCGATTGGTGTCCTACAAAGTGGGTGCATAAATACATAGCATTGAGAATTTAAAGAACAATGATTTGCTTGAACTCTTATGCCTGAGATACCTTGTGGATTCAGCGTTTGTACATTGTAGTCGTCGAGCTGTAGTGTGGCATTGCCACCTTTGCGGCTAAAGCGTACCACATGGTAAGTGTTATCATTCACTTTTGTACCAATTTCGCCCAATGGTAGATCGCGTGTACCAATATTGTAAACCATAAAAATGTTGCCTTCAACTATCTCGAGTTCCATGTAATCCTGAGTCGTTGCGCTCTCAACTCGCAGAATAACTGCATCTGATTTTGTTGTTATGAAACCCAACGCCAAATTGTCCTCCTCCGTATCGGCTTGCATATTCTCCGGAAATGAATATTGAATTATACCCTTGTTGTTGCCAAATTCATAGGCAATCGATTCTATTTAGAATGAAGTGATGTAGAAACAGAAGTTAGTTATTTGACTAAATGAAGTATGAGCTCTGCTCAATGGACTTACCATCGTAACACGTCGGGCCAGTGTATGAAGTCATGTCGCACTCACAGACATAGGCATTCCATTGTTGTACGCAAACGCCACGATTGGCGCATGCATTCTGACTACACTTGGTTGGACCCTCACAACCCGTCACCACCAACGAGCTGGGCACCACTGCATCGCTGGTCAGTGTGGGTGATGTGTCGCCCAAATCCAATGAAGCCAAACAACCTTCAAAGCCGGAACGCGACGAGATGGACGCTGGCAGTTTGGCGTACATGTCCTTGAAAACGCCACCTATGTACAGTATTCCCGAAAGCTCCAAATGCATGCTATTGCCGGTCAAAGTCACTATCTCAAAGGAATCGTCAACGGTGAGCGTATGCGTTTTCGGCCCCGGCCGCCTTATGCTCACTTGATGCCAACGATTGTCATTCATGTGTATGCGCGATTTGTCACGCATTGTTATTGGACCGTCGCCAATGTCGAAGGTATAATGAATATGTCCATTGACCAACTCCAAAGCAATGAAATCATTGCGACGCCCGTCATTGAAGAGCACCAATCCATTGGGTTCAACGGTTTTGAAACGGAAATCCACTGAGACGCTTGAATACGCTTTGAGCATCGGTAAGCCTACATAGGAGTGCTTGGAGCGAAAGGTGGCAGCATGATAGGGATTACCGGGTGGTGAGTTCACAAAACGCGCCGTCAGCTTGAAAGTGGCGCTCGGCAGTGCCGATAACTCCGGGCCCAAATTCTTAACAATATCAATATATCTGAAAGCAATATAGCAAAGCATACATTTGCATGCGTGAAATCAATGTATAGAAAGTCAGCGCGCAAAAGAAGCCAAATTCACCTTAGCCCATTGAAAATGAATCCTTGTAGTTGGCCAATGAAATTGGGCATTGTCGATGTCATTTGAATTTCCTCCTCGGCATGGAACATTCCACCCAAGTGAATGGAACGTATCTCAATGGTACTGTGGCGGCCGAGTATAGTCTCCGCTGTCGGAATATACATATTTACGCTAGATAAAATACTAAATCACACATGCAACGCACACCTAATTCAGCTACAGCATATTTAGTTAGTATGAATACTCGTTAGTCAAATTAAAATATATTATTAGGCAAATACAACATACCACATACATACATATGTATTTACGAAAGTATGTAATATAAGTATGTGCGTGTTGCAGATAAGAGGACGGACGCGCTACTACATATGTATGTATGTCACAGCTCCTCAAATTACAACATTTTTATAATATAGATTAAATTACAAGAAGCATGGTTAGGTATATGTATGTATGTATTTGTTTGTATATATCACGATTAAAAGTGGCTTTAAACAATAATTCACTCAGTGAAAGGCAATAAAGTAAGTTGCATAGTAATAGTTATAAATAGTTCGAGTATTAATCTGATAATTAAGTATGTATACGAGTATAGCTGTAGACATACATACATATACATACGTACATATATTACAGCCATTTCGTGACTATACATATATAATTTATTCATGTATGTAAGTATGCATATATGTATATCTTTTGTATATATATTATTGAAAGTAGTTTCAAGCAATTCTGGTGAGTCGTTTAGTACTTGTTCGAATTTATGTAGTTTTGAGTTACTAAATTGGTGCAGTTTATATTTGAACNTATAGCATAAAAGTCACCTGTCGATGAATTCGAATTAGATTCGCTGCCAATGCTGAAGTCATAATTTATTTTAATTTTTGTATGTGAAAGATAGCTGCTTGACTAGCGGATAATAATAACTTTTACGGAGTGCAGGACTCTGTGTGCCTAGGGTCATAAACACTCCCTATAAAATCAATCTGGGCTCGTCAAACAATTGATAAGCTGAGCCCTCTCTCGACGACCAAAAATCATACTCTACAAATCTCTCATAAAGCCCGGAAACACGGACGACGAGAAGGCTTTGGAGCTTTTTAATGACATGAACTTAGTTAAACGCATAAAAATACAACGATTGCGCTGGCTTGAACATGTTTTACGCATGGATTACGAAGCACCGGTGAAAAGATCCATCGACTCAGCATCCATAGGTGGACAACGAAAGCAAGGGCGGCCACGAACAGAAGGGAAGGACCATTTGCAAAAGGACCTGTCCGCACTTCGGATGAAAAATAGGCGCAAAATTGCAAAGCAGAGAAGTAACTGGCGAATGTTTTTCGTCTCGGCTCAAACCGACAAACGTTGTAGGTTCAAATTTGAAGAAGAATAAGACGAAGACTACAATCATTTTATGCTTTTAAGATCTCATTGTAAATCTGGTTGCTAGGTATTCCTATACTTCCATAATCAGGGACCTATTCATTAACAGTTCTATCAAAAAAAAGTGGTATTTTATCACTATTTTAAGATTTTAAATTTTGCGATCAATAATAATAATAAATTTAGTTTTATTGTATTGTTCAGAATTAAAAAATTTTAATCAAATATAAGACTAATTTTTAACCGCCTTCGCGTTATAAATCGCCACTGTACAGAGGATGGGAGAATCGTCAAAGGCCTGTTCCATGAGGATAGAATTATATGGGCGCTCTTCAGAGACTAGCAAGGAGAATTACGCTGCCTTCGGAGCGAAACCGGCTTCAACATTCAGATGACATTGTTATCGTAATCAGAGCAGATTTGAAGACACTATCTCCGACCTGCTACAGAATGCTCTGAACATAGTCGTCAATTAGTGCATTAACAACGGGTTACACGTAAACCCCAAGAAGACCATCATAGTCATTTGCTGCAGAAAAGAAAAAGGGACAAATTACTAGAATCATTCCTTCAAGGTGAAAACATACACTTCTGCACCTAGATAAAACTAAACAGAACTGAGGCATCTGACCTAACTGGGAAGATGGCTACATGATGTCATCTCCAAACGCATAGTCACTTATACTACACCCGTCTGGCGGAAGAAGGCAGAGGTGAAGTCCACGTAGGCCAAGCTCAGCAAGCTACAACAACTAGCATGCGTGGACATAATTTGCGCGATGAGAACAGCACCTGCCTCCCCTATAGTTTGTAATCAGGAAAGATGCTCTGCGGTTTACAGAATTTTATACACCCTTCCATCCGCAGGACAAGAAGATGGGATGCGCATAAGCTATGCATAAAGTGGGCTAACCAAAAACGACGGTTTCGTTGTTTGCTTAAAAATTACTTGCTGATAATGACTTCAGTATTGCCACGTTCTCTTTTACACTTCCATTTTTCTTATTAGTTTACTTTGGTGCCATTTATGCCACAATATATAAAATAAAAAAGGCAAGACTATTGTAAGATCTTTTAGTACAGCTACCAAAGAGAGGGTTCCGAAAGCCTTTATCTGGAATATCTTTTTTACTTAATATCTGCAAACTAAAAGTTTCTCCATATCAGACGTTTTTAGAGAACTATTTCAGTATTCGATGCACCTTTTGTTTGGAACGCTATTTTGCCCAAATGTGTTTCAAATCCTTAATCCCCTTCTCATCATTCGCTTCATCTCCAAG